GCAGTGAAACTCATTTCCTGTACTTCGTCTGTTCCTTGGTGCTGTGCAAACACTAAGTGTATCAATGTCTTGAGCAGTGTTACATAAATGTAAAATGTGATTCGTGTATATGTTTACCACCATAAAAACACATTCGTTTGTAGTCTACAAAGACTTAAGCTCTTTGACAAATTAAACAGGGATACTTGTACTGTTCCTGGTAACTGTCTGTAACTGGAAAACCCAACCTTCTATTCGGAGATTTTAACTCTTGTATCTTCAGCAAATAGCATTATCAATATTTTAAAGTCAGATTTGACTTCTGGTGAGTAGCAGCTGGTTCTGCCTTCCTCTTAAGAACCTTCTATGAGGTGGCCTTCTTTCGGTGGTGTGCCCGACAACACTAACCTCCCCGCCTGGAAGCAGTGTGCATACTCAGAAAAGGAATTCCAAGGGGAGCTTTCACACATCCCTGATCTATCATCCCGCTCTGTCCAGCCCTCGCTCTGCATCCCACCATGATTTTAGCATCAACCCAAAATGTTCTTTTAGATTTTTATAAATTCCACTTAATGGGGTACATTCTTCTTTTGGGTGAAATTGATGTAGACTGTGTATAAATTCTTGTCCACCACGCCAAAAAGAGGTGATTAAGAAAGGCATTTGCTGCCCGTCTGGCGTGGCTCAGTGGTTGAGTGTCGACCTATGAACCAGGAGGTCATGGTTCAATTCCCAGTCAAGGCACATGCCCGTGTTATGGCCTTGGTCCCTAGTGTGGGGTGTGCAATATGCAGCTGATCAATGATTCTCTCATATCATTGATGTTTCTCTCTCTTTCTCCCTCTGTGATATAAATAAAAATATTTAACAATTAAAAAGGCATCTGCCCATTTGATGGGACGTTTTCACAGCAGTACAGGCAGGAGGCTCCACAACCCTGGGCAGATCTGGGGCCTCTGAGGCCACAAGAGCTGCACAGTTAGTTTGAATCAGACCCAGGGTCCTAAACACCCTAGTCACCTCATCCCTCTAGGACAGTGGAAGGGCTTGCAAAATCCAAAAGAGGCAGAAAGCCTCTCTTCTCTCGGAAACGAATCCTCTCAGGAGAGTTCCGTTTCTATTGGAAATCCAAGACTTTGCAAGCAAACATGATAAGACTTTCTAAAGTCACTAGATGAATATGAGTGTAGGGCTTAGGATACTTAGGTGGGTTGAGGGGAGGGAGGTGAGAACTGGGATAAGTGTTCCCTTTCATTAGAGTCTCTATAGGTAATGATTTCCCTACTTAACCAAAGAAAGGCAATGGAAGCTGCTTCTCCCTCGCCTATTAAAAGGAGAAAGATGGGTATCTTTAATTGAAAGCAAAGCATCACAACATTCTTTAATTAAAGGCTCAAAGAGGCTTTGAGCTCATCTTGTATCTTCTTGGCTTTCAGCAGGATAGCATTAAACCTTCCTAAAAAGATAAGACTCAACCTATTTTTAAACACACCCAAAGAGGGTATCTGTCTTCTGTTCCTTTGTGAGACCAGGAATTTTTTCTTTTCCCTTTTCTAACCTCACCACAAGTGAACTTTCCCTATTACTAACCTGAGCCTTCACATTAGAATTTGGCTTGGTTTGCTCAGTGGAAATGGTGACCAACTGGTCACCATTAGCCTTTTCTAAACTGTACTTCCATCTGCCCCTCTATATGAAATTATAACAATTAAATAGGAATTAAATCAATAAATTTGGAGCTAGATGCCGACTGACTCATTCATTGACAAAAGACTGTCATCCTTCTTTTTCTCATATCCTTTTCTTTCTCTGCTGTCAGCTCCAATGCTGTTTCTCCCTTCCCCATCTCTCTTCCAAATTGCACACGTGCACACACACATACATTACAACACATGTGCACATTCACACTCTGATAAATCTAGAAAACGCCCCTTGGATAGCTGACCTTGGCCTCCACTGGTCACAGCAAGGGGTAATGGTTAAAGGCACAGACTCGGGAGCCCACTGTCATGGCTTAAATCATGGCTCTGGGTTCTTGGGCACATTTTGTAACCTCCCTATCTCTCTATTTTCTCATCTGTAGAATGGAGACAATAATAGTATCTATCTTATAGGGCTGTGGAAAAGGTTAATGAGTTAATTACATAAAAGGCCTTTAGAATGGTGTCTAGTGCTCCAATTGCAAATGGTACATAGTTGTTAGCTACTTGAAGCAAAGGGGCATTTGGAGTCATTAGACTATGCTTGATATTCCAGAAGGCATGAGCTGGAGAAAGAAAAGGAGTAGGACTCAAGTTTAAGGGTAGTGGATAAGAAGGAGTCATCAAGGTGAAAGATTTTTTGAAAAAAAGACAAAAAGCAAGTAAGAGATAGAACAAAATTACAGGGAAAGAGGAACAGCAGACATTTATCTTAACAGGAAATGTAGAAAGAGAAAAACATTAGGGAAAAGAAAAAGGGAGACAAGAGTAAAAAGACAGACATGAAAAAGAAAGACAGAAAAAAAACGACTGAGAATTAGAAAATTAGAAAAAGATGCCATTTAAATTAGAAAAGGCTCCATTTACAGTTTGAGCTGGGTATCAGGAAAAGGATTGGAAGAGAAAACAAAAATGTTGGGTATAGAAGCACGGAAACTCAGGACAAAAGTGATAGGGGGAGAGGAGATACAAGTGATAACATAAAAAGATTCCTTTGCATCAACAGGCCTCTGTGACTGTGTATCATGGGAAGCTTCTTCAAAAATGAACACGTCCATAGCCGACTAGGCTTCTTTCTCTATCTTGCCTATTTTAACTTGCTTCCGAGTCTGCCACAGACTTAGTCATAAGGTCTGTCCTGATCAGATAGATGTCTGCCCTCTGTCTTGTCTACTCCACTCAACAAGGCCCAGATGCAGTGATCAGTCTTCATTGCATTTTCACTAAATACTCAAGCCATCAAGTGAAAATTTAGCTCCGGAGAAAATATTTACACCCTCTTCCTTCTCCAAACATTTACAAACCTCTAAGGGAAACTGGTATTTTAATTTTTTAATTTTCATCTTAACGGCATTCTTTCCATTCCCACCACTCTGGCTTTTTTTGGTCAATTTAGAACGAGAACAAAATGATACAATACTGCAGGGATAGGCCACTTTCAGAGCTCCAAACAGCCCTTCCCACCAAAAGGAATTCATCACCCAACCCCTTGGAAACAAGAGAAAGGCTAGATTGAGGTTTAAAATAAAATCCGTTTTTTAAAAAAACACTTTTTCTTTTAAGTGTTATTAAATTGTCTGTCGGTGCAAAATAAGTCCCCCTATTGGAGGAAGTCGAGCGACCTTAAAAGGCCCTCTAAAGTGGACGGACCGCGAGCGTCTCCTGACGCCGGGGTGAGCTTGGGCCGCCGCCGGAATCACGAAGCCAGACGCGGCGCGCGTCTCCGCCCCGGACTCGGGAGACTGCGGCAGCGCGCACCGCGGCCGCGGCCGGGCGGCTCCCGGAGGCCGGGAGGAGACGCGACTCCCGCAGACACGTGACCGCCCAGCCGCCGCTTCCCGCGACCCAGATCTGTCCCCGGAACCCGCGCCCGGCGGGGCGAGCCCAGGGACACGTAGCGACGGCTCCAGCCCCCCCCCGCCCCCCCCCCCCCGCGCCCGGGTGCGTGTGCATTCGGCGTACTTCTCTTGGTTCACGTGCCACTGGCAATGACTGTTTCGGGGGAACACCCGGGAGAACGTGGGCACAGGAAGGAAAGACCTCTGGTTTGAGTTCTATCCACATGCATCTCCATCCCACTCCCGCAGACCCAAGTAGCGGCACTGGGGCTTAGACCTGGGATTCCCGCAGGATTTGCGTGCCCTTGGCCTCCAAGGCCCTTTGCCGCTGGCCGGCGTCAGTGCGCATCTCCCGCACCTCCCGGTAACTCTCACTGGCAGTGAGTCACGTTCCCGGGCTGGCCCGGGGGAAAAGGTAAGCCCGGCTCCCGCTGGCCCGTGCTTCCTCTCGGAGTCGCCCCGGCTGCAGGGGGAGCGAGCGCGCCCGCCCGCCCGCGCGCGCGCGCACCGGGTTCCCCGCGCAGTGATGTGGCAGCCGCGGCAGGTCGGATCACGTTGCTGGCCCTGTGCTGGTACCCGTTTGAGACAGGATTAAGGAGGGAGGCTTCGGAGGTGCCAGCGGTAGTAAACGTGGGCTCCGCACGCTCCCGGCGTCGCTTATCGCACGAAGGGGGGAGGGGAGAGGAAGCTCGCAGCGCCACCCCGGGCGCGGAGGGGCGACGGAGTTCAGCGGCGTGTGATAATGCTGCATAGCTTTTCCGCGGTGGCCCCTCTCGTGCCACCCTCTCTCTCCCCCTCCCTCCCTGCCGCGCTCCTCCGGGAGCACCAGAGGCCCCAAACGTCGTCATCTGCTGCTGTGATTAGTGGCACCGCAATTCCGGCTGCTGCGGGAAGTTTGGGTGGCCCAGGGACACTGTCGCCAAAAGACTCTTGGATTGCGACATTCTGACCCAGTGACATTTTGATTTATCTTAAGTCTTTATGGGGGAAGATTTCAAGTGGTCTCTTTTCGGGGCAACCTCCAACCAAGGCCAAGGGGTCCCCCAGGCCACTGGGCGGTGTGCAAACAAGTCTCAAAAATTTCCTTCGGGACTGAAGTTTACCCACCGCGAATTCTCTTTCTCTTTCCTTTCTCTGGTCCAAACCAACAGCGCAGTCGGTGGAAAAGCAAAAAGCCACGTTCACGTTCCTGCACCGTAATGACGGATGGACTGAGGGAGTCACATTTCCGAGCTGAGGAAGCCCTAGCTGCCCCGCACCCCCGCCCCCCACCGCCACCCCCGGCACCCCTCTTCCTCCCCCAGCTGACTGCAGCGCCTTTGGGAAGATGAATAGCTTGGCTGAAGTTGTTTTTCCTTTCCGGTGGCCCTGATCAGGTGTCCCCGCCCCCTCCCGCCGCTCGCTTTCCCTCGCAGACTTCTCCCGACGCCCCCTCCCGGCCCGGCCCCTCCCCTCCCGCCCCCCTCCGGGCTAGACCGCGGATGGTACGTTCCGCACGTGAGCTGGGTGCTGGTCTGGCCGGCGACGCGCGTGCCCTGTGGCCAAACACTGCCCGGAGTGAGAGCAAACTACCAGCGCCGAGGGGCCGGCGGGAGTGTGGGTTCGTGTGTATGCGTCTGTGTGCAGGAGAGCGAGCGCGGTGGTAGGGGGACCAACTGCTTCACACTTTCAACACTGCACTGAAGAGGGAGAGCGAGAGACTGGAGACGCACAGATCCCCCCAAGATCTCTCAAAGCTACCGTCCCACAGATTATAGAACAGGACCCCCCAAAAAACGAAACAGAGGAAAACGGACAGCGGTTGGACATGGACGAAGGAATTCCTCATTTGCAAGAGAGACAGTTACTGGATCATAGAGATTTTATAGGGTAAGGTGCACGCACCCTTGCGAATATCTGTCTGGGCTTCAGTTTGATTTTTTTTTCTTCTTCTTCTCAAAGTGGTATGGAGCGGGCGAGGGCAGAGCCCCTCCCGAATGGGTGCCTGATGCTGATTTCTGTTTTGCAGCCTGGACTATTCCTCTTTGTATATGTGTAAACCCAAAAGGAGCATGAAGCGAGACGATAGCAAGGTAAGAGTAAGTTTCCGATGTTCCCTGTAACCTGCCTGGATAGTTAATTAGGGCCATTGATTTCACAGCGAAGCTCTGCCAGCAAATATATTCCAGCCCTTGAGCTTCCCCAACTGTGAATTTTAAGTGGTTTGCTGGATACTCTCAGGGGGAGATTAAACATCATACCTGAATTTAAATTTCATTTCAGAACAGTCCAGGGGAAAGAGGTTTCCTGGGCATAGTTTATCACACAGTGTGTGTTTTGGATGGTGGGGGTTATTGTTATATCCAGTAAGCGAATGTTTATCTTAGTGTTTTCTCTCTTCCATGACTCTCACATATTAAGGATACCTATAAATTACCGCATAGATTGATAGAAAAGAAAAGAAGAGACCGGATTAATGAATGCATTGCTCAGCTGAAAGATTTACTGCCTGAACATCTGAAGTTAACAGTAAGATGCACATTTTCCTTCTTTGCTGCGCTCCAAGGGCTTGTTAATCGCCTGGTACTTACTACCCCCAGAGATATAAGAATAAATGTACATATCAGATGCCTTACAAGTTATGCTGTAGTGTAGAGTTTCCCACAAACTCAGGAGTAGGTGCTCATAACTGAAGGGGGGAAATCATGTATAGCCTATCTGTGGAAAGCGCAAGAAGTATAGGAATAGTGTTTGCTTAAGTCGCTGTGCTGAATGGAGAGCCAGTCAAGCCAAATGTGTGTTTTTAAGTAACCAAGTGCCCCCTTCTCTTTTGCACCAATGCAGACGCTGGGGCATCTGGAGAAAGCGGTAGTCTTGGAATTAACTTTGAAACACTTAAAAGCTTTAACAGCCTTAACCGAGCAGCAGCATCAGAAGATAATTGCTTTACAGAATGGTAAGTCAGTCCAGGGAGGCCGGGCAGCCCACAGAGGAGCAGTGTTAGGACTCATTCCCCACCCCCACCTCCTTCCGCGGACCCACGCGCTCACTCTCATTTGTGAAATTGCTTAGACTTTCCCTTCATTGGAAAGTGCCCATTTCCTGAAGCATCCTAGAGGCTTTCAGCAGAACTCAGAGGAATAAAAAAAAAATTTTTTTTTAAGTGGCGGTTGCACCCTCTCCACTTGGGTTTTTCAGTTGGGAGTAGAGCGCCCCCCTGCTCCCCACCCCCGCCACCGCCTCCTCCCCCCCCCCCCACCCCCCGCAACCGGTGGATTATATCACTGGAATACAGAGGAAAAACCAAGATCACTTTAGTCAGTGCAGGGCCCACGTGATAAACAGATGTTTTAACGTCGGTGTTTTCTCTTCTTGCCTCCATTCCTCTGTCCCCTACCCCACCCCCTCCTCATCCTAGGGGAGCGATCTCTGAAATCGCCCATTCAGTCCGACTTGGACGCGTTCCACTCGGGATTTCAAACATGCGCCAAAGAAGTCTTGCAATACCTCTCCCGGTTTGAGAGCTGGACGCCCAGGGAGCCGCGGTGCGTCCAGCTGATCAACCACTTGCACGCCGTGGCCACCCAGTTCTTGCCCACCCCCCAGCTGTTGACTCCACAGGTCCCCCTGAGCCAAGGCACCGGGGCGTCCTCGGCCGCCGCCCCCGCCGGGTCCAAGGCCGCCCCCTGCCTGGAGCGCGCGGGGCAGAAGCTGGAGCCCCTCGCCCACTGCGTGCCGGTCATCCAGCGGACTCAGCCCGGCGCCGAGCTCGCGGCCGAGCACGACACGGACACCGACAGCGGCTACGGCGGCGAGGCCGAGGCCCGGCCGGACCGCGAGAAGGGCCACGGCGCGGGGGCGAGCCGCGTCACCATCAAGCAGGAGCCCCCCGGGGAGGACTCGCCGGCGCCCAAGAGGATGAAGCTGGATTCCGGGGGCGGGGCGGCGGCCGCGCTCCTGGGGCCCGACCCCGCCGCCGCCGCCGCCGCGCTGCTGAGACCCGACGCCGCCCTGCTCAGCTCCCTGGTGGCGTTCGGCGGAGGCGGGGGCGCGCCCTTCGCGCAGCCCGCGGCCGCCGCGGCCCCCTTCTGCCTGCCGTTCTACTTCCTCTCGCCCTCGGCCGCCGCCGCCGCCTACATGCAGCCTTTCCTGGACAAGAGCGGCCTGGAGAAGTACCTGTACCCGGCGGCGGCCGCCGCCCCGTTCCCCCTGCTGTACCCCGGCATCCACGCCCCGGCGGCCGCCGCCGCCGCCGCCGCCGCTGCCGCCGCCGCCGCCGCCTTCCCCTGCCTGTCCTCGGTGTTGTCGCCCCCTCCCGAGAAGGCGGGCGCCGCCGCCGCCGCCGCGACCCTGCTGCCGCACGAGGTGGCCCCCCCGGGGGCGCGGCACCCCCCGCACCCGCACGGCCGCACCCACCTGCCCTTCGCCGGCCCCCGCGAGCACGGGAAGCCGGAGAGCTCTGCTCAGGAAGATCCCTCGCAGCCGGGAAAGAAAGCCCCCTGAGTCCTGGCGCTCCTTTCCTGGAAAGGACGGAGGTTCACGCGGAATAATCCTATTAATACGTTAAAACACCCTTAGCATTGTAAAGGGAGGAAGTGTGATAGATGCACGCCGGGCTTTAAAAACAAGCAGGTGTTTTGTGTACATTTGGAGTTCCTGTTTTTGCTCATCTTTCACCACCCCACCCTCCACACACTAACATCTCTTCCCCGCCAGCTGTAAAAGAACCTCTGCGCTACTGTTGTTTTTTTTTAAAGAACTCCCCCAAATAAGTTTTGCCTTCCCTTAGGCCTGTTTCATTATCTTTTAAAATACCCTGGTTCTCTAGGAAGTCAGAAGGGTCTGCTCGGTGGTGAGCCAATTGAACCAGGGTGGGAAGGGGGGGCAGCGGGTGGGGGGACGTGGCCAAGGAGCTGACGTGGAACCCGCAGAGTTATCTGTCAGTGACTCAAAGCTGTCCTGGCTGCTTCAGGAGGCTTTCCGCAAACAGAATGGTCTTTCAGAGTTGAGTTTACTCTTCAGTATTTTGTAATGTTTAGCTTTTTATTAAAAGACGTTATTTTTCGAAGAGGAAGAGGAGAGGATGCAGTTGCTCACGTCGCAACCTATTCTGAAGTGGTTTGAATGGTATCCCTTAGTAACTTGCACTTGTTTAAACGGACGGACGCGGAGTTGGGCCATTGTCAGAACTAAGTCAGGGAAGTGCATGGGTGAGGAAGGCCAGAATCATTCTTAGTACATTGGCTGGCACTTTAAGAAACTGACCATGAATCAATAAACTCATCTTCATTATATAAATACTTACATAGAGAGAGAGAGAGAGCATCTATTCCCACCCTGCATTATTTAATCCATCCTGTTCCTAAGTTTTTATAATCTTGCTGTAAAAAAAAAAAGAAAAAAAAGAATGTGCACTGAATCTTAAAACATACAAACAGAACAAAAAAAGAGAAAAATCCAAAATGCTTTGTCCTATATTCTGTTAGATCACAGAAGTGGAGGAAAGCGCTGAACTAGTCAGTTTTCATTGGAAATGCCGTAAAGATTTGAATGAAGTCCTGTGAGGCCTTCCTCTCTCCAAGTCTATGTATTTTCTGGAGACCAAACCAGATACCAGATAATCACAAAGAAAGCTTTTTTAATAAGGCTTAAACCAAGACCTTGTCTAGATATTTTTAGTTTGTTGCCAAGGTAGCACTGTGAGAAATCTCACTTGAATGTTATGTAAGGGGTGAGACACAACAGTCTGACTGTGAGTGAAGAAAATATCTGGGTCTTTTAGTCAGTTTGGTGCATTTGCTGCTGCTGTTGCTACTGTTTGCCTCAAACGCTGTGTTTAAACAACGTTAAACTCTTAGCCTACAAGGTGGCTCTTATGTACATAGTTGTTAATATATTCAATTAATGATGTCTGACATGCTATTTTTGTAGGGAGAAAATATGTGCTAATGATATTTTGAGTTAAAATATCTTTTGGGGAGGATTTGCTGAAAAGTTGCACTTTTGTTACAATGCTTATGCTTGGTACAAGCTTATGCTGTCTTAAATTATTTAAAAAAAAATAAATACTGTCTGCAAGAAACCAGCTGGTTTAGAAAAATTTAGTATGTGAAGATAAACTACAAGTTACCTTGATATTCTAGTATTTTCAGCACTCCATAAATTCTATTACGTAAATATTGCCACACTATTTTGTGATCTTAAAATTCTTACCAAGGAATAAAAACTTTAATATGCAATATGAGATTGTCTAATAATTAAAAAGACATAATGGATGCTCGAGTAATTTTAAAATGTCTATGAATACAGGGGTGAAAGTCATCCCGTTTCTCAAATATACAACTTTGTCATTGGCATGATGTCACACGTTTCCAATCTCTTGCGAGCCTACAGGCTCTGGCTGTGTTTACCTGCTTGTTCCCAATGTATCGTAATGAAAAGTGCAAAAGAAACAACTACCGATAACTTGTGTGGTTTGTTTATGTTAGACCCAACTCGCTGATGTTTTTGTGACTGGTGAATTTTTCACTTCTCATCTTTGACACCAGATAGCCGCTGTTGTAAAGATCTGGTCTGTCTCCCTTTCCCTGGGACCTGTATAAATATGCTACCACTTAGGGGTGCTGCATTCCTCAGTGTATGTGAGCTCCTTAACCTTTATAAACTAATTCTCTTGTGGGACTTCATCATGGAATTCAAATAACAAGTCATTTCTAGGTTTTTCTCAATTTAAAATCAAATTTGTGATCTGATACCAACTGTGCGACGGGTTGTCAATTTTTAGTTTCAATAATGTTCTTTACCAACCCCTTGATTTTTGAAAGGTGTTGAAATAATAGTCAAAATTTATGAGAGGTAGAAAGAGTGCTCCCTCTGCTGACTTTATGACAGCAGAACTGCAAGTCATAGAAAGTGGAGCCAGAAGGAACCTCAGAGATGAGTTTGTCCAGCCCCCTGCATTTTATAATAGGAGGGAAATGAAGCCTAGAGATAGCAAGTATCTCCCAAAGTCACACACTTACCTGGAGCCAGCGTCAGGGGCCAGACATGTTGTATCCCCTTGTCAGCAAACCCACCAGCTGTATGCATCTTGAACCAAATAAATTGAATTTGGGCAGTATTCATGAAATGTCATGAATAACCTACAGGAACAGATGAAATAAAAATTAGAAATCCAGGATGATAAAATGTTCCGGCATTTGTATAACTTTCATATAATAAAAAACCTTAGGGTTGGACCAGATATTCTAGGGTTAGTTTAGTCCAAATGTATATATACCTGCAATGGTGAAATTTTAGCCAAGTTTCTTTATAGTATGTGGGATTTTTCAATTTAAGACAAATACGAATCTTGAGTCAACAGTCCTTCTTACATACAGTATTACACCAATCAAGTTTACATACATATATTCCTCAGCAAACTTTATAATGAAATGATAAATGGCCTTTTCCCCCAGAAGAGCTAAGCATATTTTTAAGGCACTAGAAACTATAATTCGGTAGCTATTTAAAGTATTTAGTTCCTATCATTGTGAAAACTATTTTTCATTTAGTTCTCTGCAGCTGGTGATGCAGGCCAAAACTTTGGTGACTGCCCATCCATCACCTGAGATTTGTTCAAATGTACGTAAAAGAAGCCTCAGCCTGTTTCTATGTCACAGGTCAATTCTGAACTTCTTGGTGGGAGGTGATTGGCAATTGAGGTTCTAGGAAGGCATGGCTGGGCAGACAAAGACCTTTTACTTTATAGAAATGAACGGAGCCCTCGTGAATGAATTAAGACTATTTGAATGAATTAAGACCATTAGAATGCCAAAAGGCGGCTGTACTATTATGACAATAGTATTTTACTTCAGATTGCAATCTAATGTGTTTCATTAAAACAAAATCTGTTGGCCCCTCAGATCAATATATTTAGGCACATTCATTGTTTTGTGTTGTTTTAATGAAGTTCAAAATCATCATACAGTGCATGCTGAAGTTCAATGAAGGTTCCAGTTTTGCATAGAATTTAATAGGGAGCTGACACAGGAAATTATCACATATTTTCTGTGAGGACGGTGGGATTTATACTAAAATCTATGTGCAGCATGCACTATAAAAATATGCTTTTAGGAGTTGGACAAATGGACGTTGTCTTAAAATTAGGTTTCTTGCACTTGTTCAGTGATTCCACATTGAAAACTCCAAGCAAGTGTAAAACTATCCCTTTTTTAAAGTTGGTACTTAAAAATTCTCATTTTAGGGATGCCTAATTTATCTGACCTCAGAGAACAATATGTGCCCATGAAACACTGGTTCAGACACTGAACTTTCTATGTTCAAGTGCCAACATTGTTTATCGTTTTTTTCTCCTTATTGTAGTGGAAAGCCTACTGAAATATGTTACACATGTCCTGTAAGATATCTTACAGAATGTCTTAGGAAAAAAATACCCTGTCCATAGTTAGCCTTTCTCAATAATTCAGGGTCATCATTATAAACATCACTTTTGTACTCTGGGTGTTGTCTGGGAGTATTGGCACCTGCATTAAATTCTTTTTTAGTTCTTCTATCTGCTTTTTATAGATTTTTCAGTCTCTACTCATGGTCAGGCTGCCAGCTGTCACTTCTTGATGTGTCAGAGAGCCTGCCTCTAACTCTTATCTAATTTGCCACTTACCCCTGACTTACTGAGGCCTGAGAAACCATTTAACCAAAACCACACCCATTTAAAATGTGTCTAAAATTAGAATAAATAGGCTCTAACAGAGTACCTGTTGGGCACTTCTCTAAATTGTGTGAGCTTGCAGAAACAGTGAAATGTTTTTCCTCCCAACCTTTTTTTCTTCATTTCTTTTAACTTTCACAGTCTTAGCAATGTTCCATATCAGAACACTATGCAAAAGCCTTCAGGTACTTTATATATTTTTGATCATTTTATTACATAAAAAACCAGATTGCTCATGGTTTTATTCCACAACTAACCACAAAATAAATTTCCATTCCAGGAATAAATTATTTGATTTGATGAGCACTTCTTTCAAGTTGATCGGAGTAGGAGACTTAGGGTCACTAGTGAAAACTGATTCAGCTCTCACGTTGATTCACGGATGACCCTGGACCCTGCTTCTGGTGTGTCATCTCCACCTCTGGGTTTTGGACATCTTGGTTGGCAGGTGCAGCGAAAGCATTCTGGGGAACTGGCGGGGAGGGCGTGCAGGCCCAGATGTGCCTCTGAATTTAGACATACTCACTGGCCAGCCTCTGGTGAGAGGTTTCATACTCCCCACTGACTGCAACATACCCCTCTTCTCCTTGAGCCTGTAAATTCAATAAATGGGTGTGGGTTACAGATATTTGTTTTGCTCCCACTATAAGTGTTTTGCTGTGGTCAGTGTTGAAGAATAAAATATTAATCATCTCAGAGGATCTCAAAGTCTAGTGGGGGTGACAGACCCACCCTAAAATGGGTTATAATGAAACATGGCAAGTGCTTACTTGGGGGTGAGTACAATACTTGGGAGTGAGGGTTGCTAACTTCATCTGGGTGGGTCAAAGGAGGCTGTTAGAATAGCTGGGTTTTACAGAATAAACAGGTACGTGAGTCCTTGGGCTCTCTCTGAGGAGAAGGCTTGGGCACACTCTGGCCCTGTACTAAGAACCAGGACAGTTTAATTGATTATATTTTATTTGAGTCTGAGCAAGGATCTCCTAACTTCTCAGTCTTTACAACTTTACTGTCATACTGGCTCTCACCATCATCTTCTGAGGGTCTGAACCATAAACTGGGACTAGGGGGTCATGGTATGTCCTACTGCAAAGGATATAGCATTCATAGGAAAAAAGAAAAACAAGACAGTATCTTGAAAGCAGCTCTGTCTCACCTCATCCACCTGTCTTACAAAGAAACTGATTTCTTTCCCTTCTAATAAGGGGAATACCATGATGATCCACGTTCTCCATTCACTAGAGAGAGAGAGAGAGAGAGAGAGAGAGAGAGAGAGAGAGAGAGAGAGAGAGAGAGAGAAGGAATCCCAAGGCCTGTTTTCTAAAATCTCTTGGACAAAACTGAGGCAAGCAATATAGCCCAAGGTCACAAAGCTCAGTAAATAGCAGAACCAGGATTGGAACCAGATTATTTGGTTCTGAGCCCACTGGTCTTTATACTATTACCCCACAGTAATGGTAACAAGGAGGGGACAGGCTGCGGTTTTCTCAGGGAATGAGTTCAGTTAGCCCATGCCAGGTCCTAAGAGGCCAAAGTATACTTTGTTGGCAACGAAGGAAAGATTACCAAGGTACTGGCCTTTCTAAATTATGGCATAGAACATGCAATAATTATGATAGAGAAATTCTGGAGTAACAATTTCCAAGGTCCTCTACAAAGACCCGCATGATTTTACTGTCTACTCACTTTGGAGATATCCAGAAATGTGCCTTCCCTGGGTTGGAAGTCCCTGTCTGATCAGCTGTTCACCTCTGCCTCTAGCCCTCTTACCTCTGCCTCTAGCCCCCCCCCCCCCCCCCCCCCCCCCCCCCCCCCGCCTATATTGTTCTGGCTGAACTCTATAAAGGTTCTCCGGGAAAGAAGGGGTCAAAACAAGTTATGAAGCTGGACAGAGGGAACCGTTAGAAGTTAGGAAGTAGGAAAGAAAACTTGTTGCAGCTTATATGGAATATTTAGGGTACTATCAAATTAGCTATGGTTTCCATGAGAAGCCTTTTGCATATGGATATGCACACGTTTATACGTAGAATATCAAACGCTTCACCACGGAGGTACTGAGTATCTGTCACATGCCTCCTTAATATTGCCACTGTACAGGCTCCACACTGCTTCGAAAATTAGCTTTAACAGGCAAACTTCAGCCTGGATCCAATCCCTGAAGATTTGTTACACAGAGTAATCAGATAAGACTAGACTCTATAACATGACATTTTAAACTTCTCTTTCTATGATCCCTTAAGGCAGAGCTTGGTTTTCAAGGCTGTCCTTCTGAACAGGCTCCTCTGCACAGCTCGCACATAGCTGTGTGATCCTCAGATGACCGGACAGGTGAAGAACCCTGACAGCATGCCCACACCCTGGCGAGCTCTGCA